TTTCTATCTTATTCTTAGGGACGAGAGAGTACTAAATTCAACTGACTCATGACGACTTAAGACCATTCAAACAATTTCTTAGCAATTGACCGGCCAATTGGCAAATTGGTCCTGTTGTCCTTTGTACCCATATAACTTTATTTGCTCCTGGGAAAATATGCGCAGTCAAATGTTAAGATTTAAATTACTATTATATAAAGACATCATTTTATAATATAAATTACAAATTCGTCCATAGCCTGTTGTTATTTGCACGCCGATTAACTATTTACAAAATGACTGCCATTCAAAAGAACTAAGTTTGTGGTCTTGAATTCAACATCATTTAACAAGTGTGTCCTCAGTTTGTGTCCTAATCACAAGGTCCTTGTCATTAATATTTAAAAAGTAAGAGACATTTTCGTCGTCGTATCTTGGACAACACATTCAAGAGAAAACCTACAAAAGGAAAAACTAGGATGCCGAGAATGAACCATACATTGCCCACGCAAAAACGCGCAAGTTTTGGGGTTGCGAAAAATTGTAGCCCGTACGGACATGATACTTAAACCTAGATGTATTAATAAACAATATAATTGTTTTTAGTGCAATCACATTATATGAGTTAACTTAGGGAATTACAGTTATAGTAAATTTTGAATTAATCGCCAAAAATCTGAAAATCACAATTGAAGTTATTTAGTTTAATCCTTCTTAAGACTGACGGCTTTTGTCATTATATACACCTACCAGATACACTATCTGATATGTTATTGAATTATCTACTTGATATAAACAGCATTGGAAAATCAGAAGTACTCAATAACCTATTAGCAACATTTGCTGACGTTTCTAATTAGTGTGATAGCGGGAAAAAATAATTGAATATGATAAAATACATGATATTCTTAGCTATTGTGACTGCGACAAGTGGACGGCCTAAAGGTAATACACCATTGAATATGGTGACGGTACCAGCAAACTGTCCAAAAGGTCAACAACTCGTCAACGGAGAGTGTCGAGATATTTGGTCTCTCGATGATTTACTTAACATGCCAGTGGAAGTTAAAAAGTAAGTTCCTATATTTTTAAAGACATCTAATATTGCGTAAAATATTGAAACATTATCAGAATTATGGCGAAACACTTTGCTTTAAGTTATACTAATAAAATTTGAGTGTTCGTTTGTAATATCGATAAAAAAAATCTTATTTCGTACACGAGATGTATTTGCATTGCTGATAACGAAACACCATTTTTTTCATTTTTGTCTGTCTGTATATCCGCAAGGCTGGGTTTGTTTCGGATAATCTTCGGACCGAGTATGACGGGAAGGTAGCTGTTGCACGCAGGTGGCACGCTGCGCTGACGAAGTCGCGGGCGACCGCTAGTAATGTTATAAGAAATCTTGATAATGGATCATTGACATGGTGATTGATGATTGATCGCTAGCGAACTTTCTCGGTACAAGTTGTTGTTTCCGCTCAGCTCACACTGACGAAAGACCTGTACAAAAGATATCGTTACTGTTTTTTTTTTTCAAAAAGCATGACCTGAATAACAACAATACTTTTTTGTACAAGTGTTACGGCAATGGTAACTCATGCATTTCAACATTAACATGCTATTAACATTTTAATAAATATTCCTTCTACACAATCCGTGACCGTTAATTATCTGGGTTCCCAAAATGCTAATCAGTGATAACTACTTCTAGAGTAGCAGTAACAATAAATAAACTGTTTTTTTCATCTGCCAAAGCTTTAGTTACTGGTACGTGAACATTAGTTTTATGTGCATTGGTTTAAAAAAATAACAATTCTTATCGACACAAAGTTTTCACATAAACCTTCTTAGTCCACAGCATAGTGAACAAAATGAGCCGCGGAACATGATCACGGTGCCTACCAACTGTCCCCCAGGTCAGGAGCTGATTAATGGCGTTTGTCGCGATATCTGGCGATACAGATCTACGAGCCCAATTCCACAAAATATTGAAGATTCGTAAGTCATCATGCGATACTTGCAATATCCTGTTCAAAACAATATTAATACTTTAACGACATAGATTTGATACGGAAAATGCAGTAGGAAAATTGATAATGAAGTTATCATTGAGACAAAACGACGAAAACAATGTAAGATAATGTAATGTAATGTAACCCTAACAACTTTCGGTAATAAGACATTACTTACGCACTTTAAACCTAGCGCCACAATTTTATTATGAACATCTTACTAATTATAAATGCGAATGTTTCGATGGATGGAAGTTTGTTACAAGGTATCTCCGAAATGGCTCAACGGATCTTAATTTAATTTGGCACAGATTTAGAACATAGCCTGAAAGGAAAAACACATAGGCTAGTTATTAATTTTTTTTTCTGCGCAAACGGAGTCCCGGGCGACACCTCGTTAGTAAATATACGGTAATAAAAGCAATATTATGTTTTTATACCATAGTTATTAAATTATTTCTTATCAACAGGGCACTGCATATAGAAAATGCTCCCCTTAATATGATCACGGTCCCAACGAACTGTCCTCCAGGTCAACAGTTGATCAACGGCGTGTGTCGTGACGTGTGGATGTTTGCACCGACCAGCCCAACGCCGCGAGCTCTTGAACAATCTAAGTAAGAGTAATTATGAACAAAGGAATATCATTAAATGTGATTTCATTGAGTCCTTCAAATAGTTCGTATTTAAATCGTTTTATCTTACACTTATAATAATTCAACGATAACAGAAAATAACACATCCATTAGGTTATTGAAACTACGATGCAATAAAATTGAAACAAAGATGAGCCTTTGTATTGTAGCATTTTCTTTCAGTAAAAGCAAAATTTTGGAGAGAATTATCGAAAGCATCAAATCAGAAATATTATATCGCCAAAAACGACAACTGGATTTGGACGCAGAAGAAATACTTCAATTGCTGGATGAAGCAAATGTGAGCAGAAACATTGTAACAGTTCCCAATCAATGTCCTGCTGGATACAGGCCCGATATATTCGGAATTTGTCGGCCAATTTTTGATTAAATCTAATGGGATAACATCATCGAAATTATATCTGCTACTAAATATTGCTTAATTGATAAATAAATATCATTCAACAAAAATTACTGTTTTATTTTTCTTTTTCTTACTCTCAACTACTTACTACATATCAATTTCTATTTGAAAAAAAGCCAGTAGGAGAGCTGGTATAAGATCCTATCGTAATTTATTACCTATTATTTTAAAATCATTTCTATGAATTTATTTTTTAAATACTAAAGCGACCCTTTTTTTAGTGACACACGGAAGAACGATGATTTTACGTGTCACTAGAAGACTAGTGTAACTTTAACGTGGTGAATAAATTATCTAGATATACTAACAAAGGCCTAGATCAGATTTCTATCTCTATATATACATATTATAAATTATGAGTAGATGAAGTGACAAAGATTTCTAGAATGAATGATCACATTGTGAATAGAATGCATAATGTGATAATATGAATAGTCACATCTTCTTCTTCGCATACTTCATTAGTGAAGGCTGAACAACTTTATTAATAGCAATAACTTAAATACTATCAAACTAGAATCAAAATGTTTTAATCCATGTTTCCTACTATTGCTTCCTATAAATGGTAACTGCCTTATCTTGCAAATACATGTGTTGTATTTTGTAAATCAAAATAGTCATTCAATAATAATAAAAAAACGAAATTTTATTTTAACATTTACTTATACTAACAATGTTTACTTGATGTTTATGCTTGAAATTTTTGAATCATAAATATTGTTTCTACACGAAACAGCAACTGTCATTTTTAACAATAATTCATTATCTGTTGCCCTTGCCAACTAATTTTACCATCAGCAAACTTATGATTTTGACACATAATTTTAAATAAAAATAATTTCTTTAAAGTGATTCATACGGTTCTTTCTACTGCTTTTAAATTCTTGGCCTATTAATTATAAAGGAATAGGTAACATTTCGGAGCAGTATGAATGTAAGAGATTTAACAGAAGGCATTATAGCAGAACCTTCCATCTTCGCTCATGATATGTGTAAAATTACAAACCTGTGATACAAAATAAACAATAATGTCGGAAGTAAAAGGAACTAAGGCTTTAGAATTATGGTGCAAACGATTGGTAAAAGATTGTCCGAATATACAGATTGATAACATGACAACATCTTGGAGGAATGGAATGGCATTTTGTGCATTAGTTCATCATTTTCGGCCGGATCTCATGTAAAATATTATTATTAAGTTCTAATAGTATTTTACATTTGGACATTTTGTAATTTATTTGCGGACTTCTTTTAGTGACCTCTCCAAACTTAAACCAGAGAATATATATGAAAATAATCAGCTAGCTTTTAGCATAGCCGAAAAACATTTAGGAATTCCTGCTTTATTGGATCCTGAGGATATGGTTGAAAATGATGTTCCGGACAGGTTGTCAGTATTAACATATTTGTCTCAGTTTTACCAGCGCCTTAGTCATACAGGTGAGTGATTTAATACTCAAAAGCTTTATAATTTATATTTTGGTGATTTTTATCTTAATAAGTATACATTTAATAAAATAAGTACACACATGATAGATGGTACAAAATTTATTTTAAGCTCAAAAATAACAAAAAAATACATAAAAATTCACTCCTTTACATCTTACTTGTTTAGAAATTTGCAATATTATACCCTTTTTTGCAGTAAATACTAAAGCTACTGAGAATGAACCAAAGGCCTCATCTCCTACAACTAAGCATCCAGTTGTAAGTATATCTATAATTTTGTCTATGCATATAGAATGTTTCTTTTTGTGTCTGCTTTATTTGGCACTATTCTTTTGTGTATGTGCAAGTTTTTACTCTACTATATCTTAGATTCTTTTACTCTGTAATCACTCTTGTAGACTCCTATAAGATTTGGAAAGACAGGTCTTGACAAATGTGCTGCATGTGGATTGCCTGTCTATTTGGCACAAAGACTGATGGTGGATCATAAACTTTACCACAGAAGATGTTTCCGATGTTCAAAGTGTTCTGGCCATTTGAACCCAAAGAATTATCAAGTAGATGATACATCAGAGTTTTGTTGTGATGCTTGCAAAAATGAAAAGAATTTCAATTCAACAAAGATTTTCAATAATAATGACCAGATGGGAATGTTAGCATATAGTGGAGATGCAAGTGATTCAAAAGCTGACCCCTGTAATGAGGAGCAAGTAAGTCAAAGACTTAAGACCAGGCCACAGTCTGTATTAGGTGAGCATTTAATACCTATCTTGTGTCTTTCAAATTGCATGTCATTAAGAACTACTATCAACAGCATCTTTTGTTTGTTTTTCATTTATTTATGTGTTAAATATTTTCCTATATCATTTTGTAAGGTAACAATTCTAAAAATGTCTTGAAAAACTGATTTTGAGCATTTACTATGAGTAACACACTGTATATTTAACAATGACAACAGAAAACATTTTGCAATGCATGTGTCTGTTTGCACATTTTATTGCAACATTTTATATCACTAAGGTTTTTTACCATCCATTTCTTTAACCTTTATTTTTTTAATAATCTACTTATGAGTTTTTTTTAATAATGAAAAAAAATTAAATTAATTATTGTGATTATGACCAATACATAAATTATTGTATTGTCCATTAATAATTTTACTAAACTATTTAAACTCAAATAGAACTCAACATGATGTATGTAAAAAACATTTAGAAAAAATATTGAATGGATTTTACAATTTTCACGTCACTTGTTAATTTCTTTTTTGCAGATAAAATAAGCATGTTTGAAAAGAATGTAGAAAAAGACACAAGTATTGAACATAAACTAGCAAATATTAGTTTAAAAGATTCCACTAATGATAAGCTTAAAGTAGATAAATCCTTAGATATTGATAATAGTAGTAAAGAACAAAGTTTTTCTTCTAAAGTTGAAAATATGGAACTAAACAAATCAACCAATTTGAAAGATGATATTAGTTTAAATGAAAGTTTCTATAAAAAAGTGCCCGATAATTTATACAAGAGCAATATAAATAAATTTAATTTTTTACAAACACAACTGGCAGAAGACAATTTAAAAACTGAGACAGCATCAAATAACATTGAATATATTGAAAAGAAACCAAAACAAGAAGACACTAATTTGACTACTGAGAAATCCTCTATTTATGATGACAAATTAAGTAACAAACTAGAAGAACCTAAGGAGGAAAGTAATATAACTGACGATAATAGACTTGCTAAATCCAATCTAAACATATCTAGTTCTAACACATCTGTAATGCTAGAAACTAAAGATTCCATTAAAGATGAATCGGAGAAAAGTATAAGTGTGCCACCGAGACGAAAAAAACATAACACATCAATAGATAAATCAACAAATGGTGTAAAAAAAGAATTACCAAATAAGACTATTGTAAAAAATCAAGAATATCCAGATTATTTGAACCCATTTTCCGATGACGACGAAGATGAAAAGGTAATTTTTTTTATTTTTTTATATTTTTAGATAATAAAAAATAATAAATATAAATATTTTCAGGTAATACCTAAAGAAGAACCTAAGAGAGTTAGTACTAACCCTTTCGGAAGTAGTGATGACGAAGATGAAGTTCCCGCTGTCCAAATGCCACAAAACAAAGAATTACAAACACCAATGTTAGTATATTGGCCAAACTTTATAATTATTTTCTATATTTCATAACACATGCCTTGCTACTAAGATCTCTTGTATCAAAGTGAACTCTTAATGCGAATTGGTAGCACTTAATGTATTATTTATTTTTTTCACAGGAAAAGACATGTCGTAGCACAAAATCCCTCCAACCCTTTTTGGTCGGATGGAGAAGAACCGTCATCAGATGAAGAGACATATCAAAGAAGGTAAGTTTTTTTTTGTTGTTCAATAGGTTTTTATATAGAAAAAGAGGAGAAGCTAAAACTTATCTTTTTTTAACTTGACTGGCAATTAAAAAAAATTGCCGGATAGCTACAGATTATAAATTCGGCTGTAAAAGAAGGTTAAGTTTTGTTATATTTAATAGCAAGTGAATGTAATAGAAAAACTTGATTTTCCGTGTTTATCTTAGTCGTTGGTGTTTCTAAAGCATTTTAACAGCCTGCAATAACAAAATTTTCTATATTTGATGACGCAAGTACCTCACGTAACACGTGAAAACATTAATTAGCCTTGATTTAAAGATGGTATCTTTATATAAATGACAATTTTATTATCGTTACCTGCTATCAAATTATGAAGCAAGTAATAAGTAAAAAATTGTGAAGATCGTAAAACACAATAAATGTGTAATTAAATTGTTTACATGGCGTAGTATGCAACACTACAAATTTGAAAATTGTTTAATAAAATACCATGATTTAAAAAAATGTAAATATTAAAAAAAGGGTCTTGTCAGACAGACAGACGGACAACACAGTGATCTTCAGTGATTCAGTAAGGATTCCGTTTTTTTTCCTTTCGAGGTACAGAACCCTAAAGTATGATCCTGTTGGAGTTTACTAAATATAACAATTTCAGTTCTAGTTTGTATAAATCATCAATGGCAACGAGTACTCCAAATCTACCGTCAAGTACTCCGCGACGTAAAAAACCGAAAGCACCAGCGCCCCCGCCAGCAATCACCATAAGCGAAGCACAAAGAGTGGACAGGAATTCAATGTCCGTGTCTATGGACGATGTTGCCAGTATATCATCGCTAAGTTCCCACACTTCTACAGTTTATTCTGATCAAGTAAGTTTAACGCTGTGTAGTTTTTAAAACACTAGTGAATATTTAGGTTTTAAGGAAACTTTATTAACGGTTAAGTATCCAAAAAAGCTTTTTTTTATCCACCATATTATATCAAACTTGTAGGTCCTAGGTCCAAGAAACACAAAGAATTTTATCGTTATCAACAACTTGTATCAACTATTTCCGATCTAAATAAAAGATACGTAAATATTATTTATATGATAAATCATGAAAATCGCACAAACTCTTAATCAAAATCTACATCTATTTGGGTAATTAGTCATTGGTATGTACATAGGTACATTTATCTGTCGCTTCCGAATTATTATTTCAAGACAGCGTAGAAAAAATAAAAACTAAGAAAGCTTTTTAATTGTCAAAATTTGTTTAAATGTTTTTCTGGAAATTAATTCGCAACCTTTATTTACTAGAGAACCATATAAATAAGCTTTTGTAAAAAAAGTGATTTACACGGATGATACAAAATTACTTATTTTAGAGTTACTGCAACAATATTGTAACTGGGCAAAGTATGTAACGTTTTTTTCTGTGAATTTACGAACAGTTTTTTTCGTCGACGCTTACATTAAAGATTCCACAACTGTAATGTTCGTGCGTGACTAGACGAACAATTTCATATATTTAATAATGTTACATTCCGTATGTATACAAATATGTACAGTTCCGCTTGATATGTTATACATATCTGGCTGTAGGAACCGTTATCGAACTTTTGGAAAGTATTAATTTATCTTAAAAAATTGATAAAAATTTACGTTTGATTAAAAATAATCATGAAACATTTGTGGGTTTTTTGTAATATTCTTTTTAACTACATACCTTAATTGAACAAATATTTGGAAAACTGAATTTCGTATAAATATATGTATATTTCATGGATATAAAAACGTCGATATATTTATTTCAAAATGAAATAAAATTTGTAAGCGCGCTTTGTTATCCAAGGTTATTGTGTCGAAATTGTATCAGGTTTTTAGAGGTTAAATGCCGTACAATATTATGTCCAACAGTTGATGACTCCCGCCATAATCATAGTCTGATAATAACCTTGAAGTTGACATCGCATTACAATAGCTTTTTGATAGTCACAACGACACAAAATGCTTTACATTTATTGCTATTACAATAATCTCATATCATTATGAAATCGTAAATCACGTTTTTTCTCCATCTGATTTAACAAAGGATAACTATAAAAATCTATATGTACGCATCTTGGCAAAGAATAATAGGAACAATAAACATTTGTCATATGATGTAAGATAATAGTGTAATAATATGAATGCACATGATTATAAAAGCACTGCCAGATCTTAAGCAATTGTTAATTCTCTACATTGAACTTACAGATTAAAAACTTATAATTTTTATCGTTATTTGATTTAGAAGTGACTAGCCGATAATACTAGAGTTTCTCATCCATCTGAATTTTTTTTAGAAGTCAATTGGCACTATAACACCTAAATCGAAAAAGAAACGTCATGCGCCGACACCACCGGACAGTATTTCCACTCTCTCCGGATGTGGAGCGGAGTCTATGGAAAAAGGTGTGGACACGACCGGCACTCGTAGCGGTGCTTCCGATGGTGATTGCATATTTCTTTTACTTTATATTTCAGAACAAACTACACTAACAGAAATGTAAGTATTATAGTTTTCACATATCTTTACGGCTAACTTCGCACGAGTACGCAGAACACAATTTTAGATACAGAGGAGGGTACTGCACAACGTACTAATGACCTTGGGCCGCCTAGATATTAAAGAATTATTATTCCATTATCCGCACACCTCATCTGGTTCTATACTATTTGTTTCTCTAAAATGTGGTAATCCATGTCTACATGCCTGGAATACAAGCGTGAGTTACTTGTGATTAGAAATGTTACACATTATTTAGCCTCAGTTCGTCGCTACCACGAGTCGGATATCATACTAACATTGCTACATTTGTTAGAAGTGAACACGGTGGGCCGTCGGGTGAAGGGTCCGGCGCCGGGGCTGCCGCTGCCGGCGCGGCGCGCAGTACGGCTGCAGCTGTCGGGCGAGGAGCTGCAGGTGCAGCTGGACCTGCTGGAGACGCAGCAGCTGGGCCTCGAGCGCCAGGGCGTGCTCATAGAACAGATGATACGTGACAAGTGTGAGGGTAATTACTGCGCCCTGCACCTTTTATTACAAACTATTTACAGCAAATGTTAATTTTCATGTGCTTAATACATATATTGTTATAGAATCTGCAAAAAGAGAAAGGTTGTGCTTATTTTAATGTTTGCTGTAATTTATTTTTCCTTGCACTACTTCTCTTTCTTCCTTTTTGGTGTTGGTCAGCCAGATGTATGTTTAATTTTGTTTTATGCAATTGATAATTGACGTAGTAATCATTTCAAACATTGGTATGTTGAGACAATTTTTCTTGCTACGTATCTAACAACGTACATTCTTCAGGTGACGAAGCGGTGGCGGTGCCTCAGGAAGAAATCGAAGACTTGGTGATACAGCTGTGTGAACTTGTTAACGAAAAGAATGACCTGTTTAGAAAACAGACAGAACTTATGTACATGTAAGTACAAAATTAATCGTCAGCTTTTATGTAAATAAAGCATAGAAAGGTTGCCAAAGTAAGATTGAAAGTTATTTCTCAAGCTAATATTATAAAATAATTATCACTGTTTTATGCCAGTACCAGTAGTAGATATGATTTTATTTACCTATTTTTAAATTATTATATTAAGTTTTGTTTTAAAAATTTTATTTTTTCATACTCAGTCGCCGGCAGCAAAGATTAGAGCAAGAACAAGCGGACATTGAACACGAAATCAGAATCATACAATCTAGGCCCGCCGTCAATCGCATCGATTCTGATAAGGTAAGATAAAAGTGTTGTGTATTATCTTAGTGCGCATATAAACATAAATATTGCTTTTAATTGTAGGATTAATGTTTAGCTATGTTTCAATATATTTGTTTATAAAGGCAATAGGTGAAAGTTAGGGAATTCTTCCCATGTATTTTCTAGGATTTGGAAAAATATGTATCGACCCCTGTATTAGTACAATCAGCTACATTAATATGTATACATTTTCAAAACTAGACACTTGAATACCTCTTCGGTTTCAAAAATAAAGTCGCGTATTCGTCATTGACACGTATTCATGGTCGGAAGCCTACAAACGTAAGCGCGCATAATATTTTTGAGACTGAAGAAGTATACCAGTTTCTGAAGCTTTTAAAATGTATACATATTTATGCAGCTGATTGTACAAAGACCATTATCGGCAAAACTTGTGAAACTAGTGAGGTCAGTAAGATGTGTTCGTAGGCGCGCGAGGAGGAGCTGGTGACGCGGCTGGTGGAGATCGTGCGGCTGCGCGACGAGCTGGTGCAGCAGATAGAGGCCGAGCGTCGTCGCGAGCGCCAGGAGGACCTTGCCATCGCAGCCTCCATCGCCACTAAGCGAGGTCAGCATCCACACATTCTTTTTAATAAGTTCTAAAATAACTAAGCAAAGTAAAAGTCTGCTATGCAATATTCTAAAAAAACTGTAGTACAAACAAAATTTATTGTAATTCTTCTACAAAATAGTAACCATTTTAATTTATAATTTTTAATTATATAATACACAATATGTACAATAATAAATTTTTAAATAATTTTATGGTATATTTCAGCTCAAAGGAACAGCGATTCAAATGCTTCATCGATTAAGTCGACGGAAACTATCGTCAGCCCTAAAAAGAGCAAGGTCAAGGATAAGGTGAAAAAACAATTAAAGAAAGCAAAGCACACATTAATTTCCAAGAAAAAAGACGATGACAAAATTGAAAAAGAAAAGAAACCAAAATAATTAACAACAAAGCGAAATCGACAAACAGATTTAAACTATACAATTTTTATACTAATTAAACAAGAGATATATTAATATTGTAAGTAAACGTACTTAATAAGACTGAAATATTCATCATTCATTCGTAATCCATTATAATGAACATTTCGACAATTTAGACAAATTTTAAGATCGAATTTTGGACAATTAGTAGTTAATCTTTTTGGATGTACTAACAATATAATAAAACCCAAAATGTCAAAAAAACATTCCCTTTAACGTATTTGATATATTTTAGTTATAAATAAAATTGTATTATAGAATATTCAATATTGACATCTAGGCGATTGTGGACAGCCGCTTAAAAATATATAGTGCCACAAACTTATTTGGCACATTGAAACAGGCGCTGTTATCGGGATTACTTCTCTCAGATGTATGTAAACATAGAGCTAAATAAGACACTAGATTCTTGTCTATCTTTATCTACAAGATGAATAGCATCATGAAGGTCGTCATCGTGTTTTCGCGGACTTAGACATAGATTTTTGGAAACACAAAATACACTATTTAATTATACTTTTTTCAAATATTAAACATATTTCAAAATTTGGTACACAAGCCTATTCTACATATCTAGAAAAATATACCAATAACAATTATCATCAAATATAGCTCATGGAAATTTTAAAATTACTATATTTTCTTCAAGTTTCTATTCAAATCTACATCTAGTCTTCGGCTGCTATATTTGTAAATATTGTAAAATGTTTATGTCTGCTTATTATCTATTTCTATAGTATGACAGATGAAAACTCTACCATTCGTATAATTAAATATAAACTATATTACCCATTAATATAGTACTTTTAAACATTACTGAATAGCGTTGAACGCTTAATAAAGACATTTCAAATAAAGGGGGATAACAACTCAAGATAAGTAAAGGTAAAATAAAACAATGAAATATAGTTAATTCCTAATTAAATTATAATAAATTGTCCATAATTAATAATAATTATCGTTAATTTTAGAATTGAGCACAAATTGCATGTCAAATTACATCTGTTTTGTAAAAATAGTTTGATTTGTAACATACAATTTATGGGAAAAACATTTTTACATTCACATATAGGATGACACCTTCTGGGTCACTTATTTCATTTTACCCAGATTGGTAATTTTGAAGTATAAAAAATACAAAAATATTTTTCCTATGAATTGATTTTATTATATTGACTATTCTTAAAAGATATCAATATTTACTTAATGAAATTTCTTAATAATGTTATTGAACACACCGGGTACTACTACCAGATTTCTATATAGTTTATAATAAAATTTGAAAAAAATCACTTCAATATTGACCTGTAATGACATAATCATTGTACAGAGATTGTATTGATATTTTGGATAATATTGTATAAAAAAACTAGATCTATCTAACATTATATAAAAAAGAAAAAACGATGTCTCGAAAGTTTTCATCTTTCTATTTAATGGCGCTCAAACTTGCTACTTTTTATTGCTTAACAATTCAATTTATATTGTTATCTTTTTTTTTATTATCCGCTGCACGCGGTATCAGGTTCTCGAATATTCTTTTTCTTATTTATAAGTTTTAAACTTAACTGTGCTATTACTAACATTTACTAGCTATACTTAACATAGGCTTATGTCATTAATGTAGCCCACCATATAAACCTGTAAGAACTTGAGGTTGTTTATTTAACTGCATTTAATGTGTCCATTTTTTTATATAAATCAAACCACATTCTCATTATTCATTATAAAATTTTGTAAGAAGTTTAAGTTAACTTTATACACATAAAGCCATTTAAAATACTCAATTTGTACCGAATTAATTATAGTTTTAGATATGTTGCTTTATACATTTATGAAAGATTTAAAAGTTTATTCAGATCACAATATTTAATGCTACTTATTATACACTACACCCTAACAAAAACTAAACTACACAGAAAAAGGTAATATATGCGTTAGTCATAAGAGCACTTAACACAAACCAGCACAAATTCTTTTTTTATTATTAAAAATATGTTTATAACAACCTCTTGTTTTATTTCAAGGCTATTGCATGTTTTTAATAATCAAGATTACATGAACATCTCAATATCACAACATTATATTATTTTGGCATCCAATGCATAGTGGGATTCCATTAGTTTATAATAAAAGTGAAAGATTTTAATAAAAGTTATTTATTTCTATTGTCTAATTCAATGATTAAATTTGATTGTTTGGTTTTGCTTAAAACATCTCGTAAGTCATCAGGTTTTTTCTGTTTCCGTGATTTTAATTTTTGTCTTAAATCTTTAGGTTCCTCCACACTGCCAGATTTCAGCTCTAATCTAGACCACACACTGGAGCTGTGTGGTTTAAGCACTTTATTAACTTTTTGGACTCTGCTCATTATAAGTGAATCTGAATTATCTGATGATTCATCACTTGATACCGGATCTCGTGCAGGTACTTTAGCACCTAACCTAGATTTTAAGCTCTTCTTTCTAAACGTGTTATCTGTTTTAGCATTACTTTTAAATTTTTCGGACACCCTTAATGTTGTTCGAGGTGTGCAGTCATTTGTTGTATTTATAACTTCAATGGAAAGTGGAGCATATGTATTTTCTTCCTCAGAGTGCTCAACTACAGGCTTTTTTTGTTTACACTCTTCATCATCAGCATGCATCCTCATTCTGGGTGTTTTCGATTTTTTTTTCCACTCCGAATCTGATGAACCCTCATCTGAGTCTTCTGTTTTATTACTTCTTTTTCCAAGACGCATGGCAAGTTGTTTACTTTTTATTTGTATCCTTTTGTTAGGTTCATTATCATTGTCTTCCTCATCATCATCATAATCTTGAGGCAATTTACGGCGAAATACTTCTTGATGATCATACACACCCCAAGACATGCATAAGTCACCCCAAGGATTCTTACTTATAGCATTACCATCATCCATACTTTGAGCAATTTGTTTTTCATATTTTATTTTAGTAATTTTCTTATCACTATGTGTTGCAAATCTCATCAAGATCATATCCACATTGGGATGTGGTAAACCTTCTCGCCAGTGGTAAGAAGATTTTTCATGAATCATTTCTTTTAAATCTTCATCTGTTATTTCCCGTGAATGAAGTAATAGTGCCAAAGCAACAGCTATATGATCTTGACAAACAATATTACCTGAAAAAGAAAATCTTACTATAAATACTATCGCCATTTTAAAAATTAGGAAATAGTAATCTAAATTTATGTAAAAGTACACCATTTTTTCATAAGTCAGCATATCAGGTTTCACTAAATTATTATCAAACACCAAATGGTATCCTAGAAATACTACTCCACTAATTTTATGTATATAAATATATTACATATTGATCAACAAAGAACAAACTTACATGAATTATTATCAATCCACTCAATGGCAACAGGTTTATAATCTTCAAGATATTCAAATATATCTTTGGTGGAAAGTCCATCAATGCCAGCTAAGTGTAAAGTATCAAATCGAAAATGCCGTTCGTTGCCTTCTTTTATACCAAAATTATTGTACAGATCATCAATTTGCTCTTGTGTCACAACTCTGTTGCCTGTAAGACTAAAACCAAATCGTTTTGCCCTCTCTTCAAGTTTATGAGCATCTACTTTTTCGAGTAGTTCCAGAACTAAACCATTCTTTTCTTTCTTGTATAACTGAAAACGAAAAAATAAAAATTGATTATAAATTCTTTGTATAACCTTACCTGTTTTAGTCACATATAACAACAGAACACTTTATACCACAGTGTGTTTCTCTATATCTTGCATAGCAGGCACGACAATATCATCCACTTCCATTTCATTATCACTCATTTCGCCCTCTTCTTTTTCCATTTCCATTATGATTTTATGATAACTTCAAATTGGTGATACGACGATTCTTAAAAATAATGACGTTTATCCTCGGACTACTTTTGCAATCGTGTCGAGACTCTTTTCACAAGAAGTTAACAATTAAGATTAAGCATATAAGCATTTTATGTATACTATGAAAACAAAGTATTTCGTGAATAACATTAAACAACTAACGCTTTAAAAAATTATTGCATTGTGTCTGAGTTGAAAGCAATTTTTTTACAGTCTCAGAAAGATCTCTCTTCTTTTCTTTTTGGCACTTTTTTGACATTGATTTGACATGGAACGCCACAGAGATATATTCCCTCAAGCAACCCCTTTGAGCAAAGAGTATATAAAATTTTTAGGGTAACCAGGAATCAAAAATTGCCTAAATGCTTTCGAAATTATCCCACGTCGAAAACTTATAGGTACTTCATTACCACCAAGAATACTTACTATTCTTTTACGCTTTAGAAAATATTTTATTTTTAATTGCAAACCTGCATACCTATTCTTTGCCATAGACAAGCCATTCTGATTGCATTCTGACCAATTCTGACATTCTGGTCATTCTACTGAAATCGTTTCTTTCCATTTTAATTTCATTTATATATGTATGTTATGTTATATGAAATTAAAACCTACCGAGTTTGTTCGCTTTAAAATTTAAATGATCGAATATTTTGAAAATATTTAGACAATATTCTGATTCTTGTCTAAGCCTTCTTATAATATATCCCAAAACTAGGTATTCAAATAGCATAACATTTCTCTTGGTATTTGCTCATTTTTACGTTTGTGCATATTCCAGCAATGACTTCTCACATGGAAATGAGTTTGGATGATATAATACAGAAAAAGAAGAAAGAAAACTTCAGGTAAAATTCATGTTAAACTCCAATTGTCAGAAATGCAACTTTTTCACAAATAGTTATTGACTCACACCGCATTATTTCATTTTGCAATAAACCATATCTAATTATCCACTGGATAAGTCCAGTAGAAAAGATTAATTGAATTTAGAACACAATGTATTTTTTTCAGGTATAAGGGCAAGATAAAAAAACAACCTCCCCAACAGCAAATACCAGTTCAAAAGCATAAAATAGTTGATGCTCGTAATAAAATCATATCCAGGAAAAGAACTCAAATAACAGATGCCAGAGAAAAATTAGCAGAACTGGCAAGGCAAAAAGATGCTCGTTTAAAGTTGCAACAGTTGAGAGAGAAAAGAGTAAGTGTAATGTACAAATTGATATTGAAATGCGTCGCTTACTTAAGAATACTGTATGTGCCAAAATAAGATAGATTTAAATCTTTTATTATTGTGTTCTTTTGGGTTAAGTCCAAGTGTAAAACAATAAAACAATGTTTAGTTATAATGATTCTATCAAAATACTTGTTTACAATTTGAAATCACTTTCAGCTTGCAATGACTAAAGTTAAAGATAGAAAAAGTTTTCAAGGTCGAGATTTATTTCTGAAAACTAGAAATGAAAGAGGTAATACTCACATGCAAAGTTTCTTTCTGTTTTTAATGCACTAAAATCTTCTCTTTTATTAATCAAATTTTATCTGTTTTACAGTTTTTATTGATCCATCTAGACAAGTGACATCACAACCTCTTAAAGGTGCAAAATACATGAGACGCCAAACACAAAACAGTAATAACAGAAGATTTGTAAACAATACTTTTGGATCTCATTCAATAGGTACAATTTTATTATAATTTTTTTTTTAACATGTTGCACTTAGTGCCTCCAACTCTCCAAGATAAAAGTGGCTTTATGTAAAAGGAAATTTTTACTTCAAATCACTTTAATTTCAAATGATTGTTAAAGTTCATATAACTAATAAGTATACTTGAGATAAGTATGTATATGTATGGTAAAATTCAATGGATATGAGAAATTATTAATACACATTTAAGTGACAATGAAATTTAATGTCTATGGAAACAAAGTTTATTTTTATATGATACAACCATGTCTGTGCATGTTGTCTATTTTTATATATCATAAGGTGGCAAACGAGCGAGCGGCCACCTGAAATCACTGAAATAGCGAAGTGACCGTTGCCCATAGACACACGAAATCGCATATGCGTTGCCCACCCTTAATCGACGGAGGAGAGGATGCACAGAGAAAAAATATTTTCCCTTTCCATGCATCCTCTCATCCGGAAAGTCCACCTCCACTTCCCATCCCTTCCTTATAAGAAAAAGGGTGGGAAGGGAAAGAGGACTAAATTAGGCCTCCGGGACAAAGTAAAGCCTGTGATAACAGTGTTATAAGGGTATATTTTTAAAAAAGTTTATTATTATTTCTCATTTCCATTGAATAAACTTTAGATGAAGTATTGTATCAGGAAAGCATAAAGTGGATATTTGTAATATTTCTTAACCCTATATATATACCACTGTAAATGTTTGTTGTGCTTAATTCGTTTTTATCAATCATCTAATTATACAATTATTATTGTATTTATAATTTCGATTTCAGTCAATAAAGCGGCATTAAAACCTATACTAAGAACAGTAGAAAATGATATTGAAATCATTGATGAAGAAATGCCCTTATCAAAGCAGAAGACTAACTTGCATTTCAAGATAATTGCTCATAACTATGATCATAACAGAAGCACTTCTATTCAGAGGTATTATAAAACTTTAGTACTTACCTGCACTGTGTGTTGCACACATTGTTGACAATAACCTTCATCTTTCAAAAATTTATACATTTTTTTTTTAGGCAGTTGTATTTTTTTTTTTTAAGTAACATGTTATTTATGTTTAATGTTGCAGAACGGCCATTGTTGAAAAAGAATCAAGTCCACCTAGGCCACCATCTATACTTAAAAAACGCCCAATGGCTGCTTTACGAACTGAGAAAAAAGACGATAGAACGGAGAAGCCTATTCTGGAATACAGAATAATAGTCAGTAACTTACGTAACACAGTTACAGGTGGAGATATTGAGGTAAGAATTGAAAAGGCTTATTCAATTTCTATAATGTAAAAAAATAATTTGAAACATTTTGTTATCATCTATCAATAAATATAAATATGAAACAAAGGTGTGTTAGTTACACCACTTGTAACCTCAGAAATGTCTCGAACATTATGCTTGCGATTGAGCTATCCAAATAGTGGATTGAATAACGCATTTAATCGAGAATTAGGAAATGTAATTATAATAAAAAAAAATAACTGAATAATTTTAAATCCTTAATTTGCTCATTAAATATGAGTGAGGTCAGCTAGTATTTCCTATATATTAATAACTATTACTTAAGTATTAAATGTAGATGTGTTGAAACTATGGTTTACATGATTTTTAAAGATGTATTTGTTGTCCAGGAATTGTTTGGTGATGTAGGGGGGATGTTAGAATCTCGTCTGGTTCGGCCAGGCACAGCTGAAGTGATTTACAATAGCTTGGAAGATGCCCAAAAAGCAGTTGATTTGTATCACAATCGCCAACTAGATGGCCAACCAATGAATTGCCTGCTGGTAACACCAAGATCAGGAACATCTGCTACATCAAGGTTATTATTTATGTCATGGTTATTGTACTATTTTTCATGTTCCGTTGAACTAATTAACCTGAAGAGTTAATTTTTAATACTTTATTTACAGAAAACTTATGTGTATTGTTATTGATTTCATGTGACCTCACTATTGTACCCTCAATCCATCAATTTACTGAATTAAGTTACTAAAGAGGTTTTTTGTTCTTTTAGGACCAGTACAAAGCCAGCACTATACAGCACAAATTCAAATGTGGAGCCCGATTTGTTAACATTCCACAAAGTTATGTTCAGCAATTTTACTTAATTTAGTAGCATAACACTGAAAAAACAAGTTTGAGAATATTATGATTATCACTTACTTAGATACCCATTAAATAAAATCTAAAAACAATATTCTTTTATGTTATTATTTTTAATGCCTTTGCCTCTATTAAAGACTGTTTTTGCAATGTATGCATAGAAGGTACAACATACGCATACTAAGCGGCATACTAATCTTTCTAATTTTGACCACCGCCCACACTTAGGCTCTAGCACGAAAATGCAAACTTAGCATCGACAAAATTAACCAGGTGAAAGTACATTGACAAATTTCATACAAATTTTGTCGATACTAATACTTTCTCGAAAATTTCCTTGTTAGATCAATAGATGAGCATAGTTCTAAACTCAGCGGTGAACAAATTTAGATGGTCTGCTTTTTATATAAATCGAATTATAAAATCACGGTCTAACCGTGTGTTCCCATTGCATTAAACATTCGTGCAACAATATATTGTCCCATTCTCTCGAATGCGAATTTTTTGCTGTAGCCAATAGATATTTCTGTAGGTTTTCCGCAACATGTCATGGGTTTTCTATTTTCTGCGAAAACTATTAATTACCATTATTATTATTTATGGTGAAGGGATAAACAGTACTGTTTTATGAGGTACACATATATATGCAAATAACAATATTAAAAGATTGAGCCGATGTTTTATTATCTGTTTTGAAAATGTAGCATTTTCTGGAAATATTAAATGGCAACTCAAAACAAGGGCATAGAGAAAGGAATAGATTTTCTTTTTTCTTCCTTCTTGTCATTTCCTGTTTAGCGGCGTGCGCCTGTATTGCCGCCATTTTATCAATCGTTCGTGGCTTTTTGGCTTTGCGTTGAGCCGCCATCGAACAAACGATTATCGTTTTCAAAATTAAAAATATCGGTTTGTAAGTACTAGTAAGGTTCTTCAAACAGTGATCTTTGTTTTACAAAGTTGATAACTTCATCACAAAATGGGGGACCGTAAGTTTTACTTTCAAGCTTGAGTTGCATTGAACATGGATTTATCTGTTATTTCACGTGTATTTTATGTTATTTTATAGCCTATTCATCAAGTGATTATAACAGCGGAGGATATTCGTCTCAATATTCCGTTCCACCACCAGCAGCCTCTTCTGGGGATAATAACTATAGCGGTGGTCAACAAGGGAGTTACAATCAGGGTCAGGGCAGTTATTCTGGACAAAATACCGGTCAAGATTGGAATTCCCAAAGCTCAGGTTTATTGATTTTTTAACGCTGAATTATATATCTATATACAAATGTAATTTGCTACTTGTTAATCTGGACCTACGATAAGTAGGTATAAATTGAAAATAAAATATTTATTTATGCTATTATAGTGTATGAGTGTTTGCTAGATCATCTTTACTTTGAATATGTGAAGCGAAAATTGTTTTTAACTAAATTGCACAATGATCAGTTAAGAAACATAGTAAACGAACTTGATGCTATGTACATTACAATCTTTTAAAATAACTTTAGTTAACTTTTAAATCTAGTGCATTGTTGTCATCTTTTAAATTTAATGAATCGTTTTAGGAGGAAGTAATTATGGTGGTAGCGGTCAATCAGGCAATAGCTATGGTCAAAATTATAGTTCAAACTATGGTAGCGGAGGATATGACCGCAACAGTGGCGGCGGCGCCGGTGGTGGTGGTAACAACTACAATGTGAGCGGAAGTGACCGTGGGGGAAGCAACTATAGCAGCGAGCGGAGTGGTGGGGGCTCCAGTTATGGTGGGAATGACAGGGGAGGCGGCGGTGGTTACTCTGGTGGTGACCGGGGATATGGAGGGGGTGATCGCTCCAGCTACAATAGAGACGGTGGAAATAGAGATAGTGGATATGGGTAAGTCATATTAACATTACTTTTTATTATAATAAGTCAAGATATTGGTGGTTTCCTTTTTATGACATACTTTAATATTTATGTATCATCAGTTTGAATGATAAATGTTTTACATATATTTTACTAGACCACCATTTTGGTAGTACTGCTACTACATCATTCTTATCTTGAATCCATCCAATACTGTTATTGTCTGAAACCATTAAGTTCAGGTTCTCAAGTTATAGGAAACACCATGAAATTCTAATAAAAACTTCTAACAAAAAATAATTGAGTTAATTCAGTGGTTGAGTATTCATTTTAGCACCATGGGCCAATGCTAGCTGATGAATGCATCAAATGGTACAAAATACCAAATATATTTATTTACTAACTTTCTACAGTTATTGGCATGATTATTAATGTTGTGTAACACTGTTTTATATCGTAATATTTTCTGAACATTAATACAATAAGTATTTGCATGTGATTCCAAAGTTTGGGGTCCAATTACTTTTTATTTTAGAGAATGTATAGCAGCAACTATTTAATCATCATACTAAAACTATAGGGAAGTTGTATATATGGTATAGATTTAGGAATTACAACTATGACATGGTATAACAACAAAAATTTAACTGTCGACAAAGTTAGAGATTTATTGGTTCTAGTACAGTATTGGTTTTATATCTTAGCCCTCATTCGCACGAGCGTGTTTTTAACGCCGCGTTGAAACTCAGTGTTGGCTCTTGAGCGACAAACACTTTTAATCACTCTTGTTCCGTTTGTGCATTGTTCAAAATGCAATAATGCGCGGTATAAAGGCGCTTCTATATAGACCTGTGTAAATCAGCTGCGATTCAAAAACTATATAGGCAGCTCACTGCTTAATATGATGTACTTTAACTATGGGAGCCAACAAGCTGCAACTCAGATGATGAGTCGTTGAGCGACCAATCTCTATCTCTATGCAGGTACAAATTGAGCTGATCCAGTTCACTGATCCGCTTCACACATGTGAACTGTGAGCTGATCCGCAGGTCAATGTATAAAAAGTACATGGAAATGCATTTGTTTGATTTGAACGCTTTTTAACGCGCGATATAAAGCTCCCGTACGAATGAGGGTTTAGTGTTGATAGTTGTTTTGGATGCTACAAAAACAACTTAAAATAACTTGTATGAAGTACATCTTTTTCTTATGATTGAAATCATAAAGAAGGTATTTTTAACTGATGTTGAATGGAAGTGATCACCACTGCATATAATGCTCAACATACAGAAGATATGCAAATATGTTCTCAATTTTGGTATATAGCAGAGGAAAGTGCATATATAAAGCAAAGAGTATCATTTATATGAATTGCAGGAAACATTTTTACTAAAGGCTGGTTAAAAAATATATTTATAAGATTCATCCTATTTTGGAATCAGTCTGTGAAACTACATAATGTCTAATTCAGGCATATAGCAATAGAAGGAATAAAGTCTATGGTGTAATACTTCTTCTATGGGCTGTAAAAATTCAACAATTCCTTTTGTGCATGGAGAAAAACTTCATTAGACCCAAATATATTATTTAAAGCATGGGTTACATACAATATGTTGACACAAGGATTACTTTTTTATAATGGTTTTAGAATATCACTTAATTTCATGTAAATTAAATCTAATAATTTCCTCATACAATTTTATTAAATATTATTATTGGACTAAATTATTGTATTGTGATATACATTGACTATTGATTTGTACTTGTGTGCAATATGCTTACAAAGTGTGCAACATTATTGTCTCCAACAGTTCAAAGATTTTCAAGGTGTCAAGGTTTATGATATGGTAAAGAAAAGGATCCATCCATGGTGTGAGGTTACTGGTTAAACGGTACCTAGGTGACAAACCGTCAGCGTGCGCCGTTGGTGTGTCAGTGAGCCCCCAGCCTGCCCAGTGTAAACTAAACGGTCTTCTTATTGTTTTAGTGGCGGCGGCAGGGGGGGTGGTTATAATAAAGGTAAAGCTCCTCGCGATAAGCGATTGGTGCTGTTGTCATATTTTTAATATGTAATTTAAAAGGGGCTGCCAAACAGGATTCATCATATAAATTATCTATAGCGTTTCTTATGCCTGTTGACATGTTTTAAAAAATTTGGCATCCTACAATACCCTTTCTACATTTTAACATTTTTATAAATTGTTAACAGCAAAGTAATATAACAACAGTGGCATACATTTTCGACAAAAACATGTGCATAATATAAAGTTAAAAAGTTATCTTCTTGCTTTCATTTTAGTAACAGAAAAAAAAATAGGAAACTTGCAACTAAAGTATTCCTCATAAATATATTAGTTAAATATTCTGATTGGAAACACAAGCTATTCTTTACATAGTTTGACTGTATTTTTAAATTAATTTAGTTTCATACCTTATACATCAATGTTACAACATATCAACAGACAATGTGGTAAAATAAAAGGATTGTTGTCAACAGTCAAATTGTGAGGGGGTCGACATTTTGGATGACATGTTTATACAGAGTAACTGGTATTGAGTCAATTATCTAATGTATTAAGAGGTTTTATATTCGTCAAAATTCTTTTGTTACACCATTATTCATTGGTTAAGTGGTGACTCATAACTCCAGGAACACTGTATCTTCATTTGGCAGCCCTGTTTCAAATTAAAATATTTGGATGTCTGTTTCGATACTATAAATATTTTACAATAAATGTAAATTGATACAATTTCTTAAAATATATTGAAAGGTTTTATGGTTTAGTAAAAATATGATTTTGGAGGTTAATTTCAATTCAGTCATGTCAACTCTTTGTAACAGCGTTGGTTATTAAATTGTTATTTATTTTACAAGAGTGGGTGATTTTGGTTTACAAGGACAATTTCTAAAAGCATAAGGTTATAAGGTACTAAGTAAAATAAGAGGTGTAAAAATGTATGTCGGGTTGAGTTATTTTGAAAGTAGCTCAGTAAAATTTTAATGTCTTAAATCTTTACGACTAAATACTGCACAATATAGAGTTAAATGGGTAGTCTATATGTATGTAAATGTATCTGCTATGTTTTGTGAAAATATAATCAATATTTGTGTAGGTGGTGGCAACGGAGGCGGCTACGGCGGCGGAGACCGGGGGGGCGGCAGTGATATGATCACCCAGGAGGACACCGTGTTCATTCAGGGTATGAACCCATCTACTACTGAAGACGAATTGTGTCAGCACTTTGGTGCTATTGGCATTATTAAGGTAAAAAATACTTCATCATATTATTTGCCTCTCTGAGAACGCTAGAAAAATCAGTATTACGAGCAAATTATTTATTTTTCAGACTGACAAGAAAACACAAAGACCTAAAGTCTGGATGTATAAGGACAAAGCTACCGGTCAGCCCAAAGGGGAGGCGACGGTGACTTACGAGGACAGCAATGCAGCATCTTCTGCCATACAATGGTTCGACGGAAAAGACTTTAATGGAGCTACAATAAAAGTGTCCCTGGCCCAACGTCAGAATACTTGGGGCGGCAGCAAAGGAGGCGGCGGTGGCGGCTTCCGCGGTGGTCGCGGGGGTGGAGGAGGCGGAGGTCGCGGCGGCGGCGGAGGAGGACGCGGTGGCGGCGGCGGCGGCCCGCCCTCCGGAAACCGGGAGGGAGATTGGCGCTGTCCCAACCCCAACTGCGGGAATACCAACTTTTCATGGAGAAAGGCGTGCAACAGATGTAATGAGGAGAAGCCGGGCGGCGGCGGCGGCGGCGGACCGCCCTCCGGCGGCGAGCGCGG